AGAGTGGAGCAACAGGTTCCTTTAATTTAGGGGCAAGCAGGCTTCAGTGGATCATTGCCACTGGCACTGTCATTGACAGTCTAACAACAATCAGCAACACAATAGTCTGTCACTTCCAATGTTTAGTATACTTTGAGGCCACACAAGTCCAAAGATTGATCTAAAGGTACTTTATTTCAAGTACTTTATTTCGTATCTTAAACACAAAGAGACTAAAGTTTAGTTTATAATGAGCTTTGGGAAAGAAAGATACTTCATGTTGAGTACTAGTAATATTAATTTTGCACTATTTGCCCACTTCCACATATAGCAACAAATGTTTTTTCTTCCTACTTAACATCCTCTATTTGTTTTAGAGGAAAATCAGCTTTTGTTGAACCTTCTGCAACTGAATTGCTGTAATGATCAATAATAAGCAGCAAAAAGTATAAAAGTTAAGCTAAATAAAATCAATTACATCCTGTGAATTTGTCTTTCATACTGAGAGTTAACAGGCAAAAATTAAGAATGCCTTAGGAAAGAAAATCAAATTAGAAAACAGTTTAAGTCTCAAGTTCAAGTTAAAAGAAATCCCCTGTAATGGCTGAGCTGCATGGAGAGGCCAGGAAGGGCCTTTTACATTTTGATGGCACAGATGTAGAAGTATTAAGTGAATCACATGGGGAAGATAATGAGCATTTTTGCCTAGTATGTGTTATGTTGTAATCTACCTGTCATAAGCCATAATTCACCAGAAATACATGGAGAGATGATGAGCAAAGCATGAAGAATCAATGGTGAAGTGATACATAAATGAAAAAAGTTGTAAGATTGTTTAGCTAAGGGAAAAAAACATGTACTTTTAAAAAATCTTCAGTTGTGTAAGTTCCTACTTGTGTTAATAATAATTATAATTTAGTACTAATAAGTTTACATAGTAAACTGAAATAGTGTAAGTTTCTACTGTAGAAACTCACACTGTTTAGAAACTAGAAATATTTTGATGGATACAGGGTTACATTTAGAAAAAGCAGGTTAATTTAACCAAAAAAAAGATACTGAAAAATTGTGTATTTGTGGGGTGCTGCTGGCTCTGGTGAGGGAGATATTTTGCCCTCCTCATCTTGTTCTTTTCCAAAGAATAGACATGAGGACTGCCTCTCTGGAAACAGTGGGGAAAACCTACCTAGGTCATTGTTCCTTTTAGATCCAGTGGTTCTGTTTCTACTTAGAGACTTGTTTGAGAAGCGTAACAACAGATCTGAGATGCAAATCTGTTTCTTAGTGCCAGAATTAGCAAAAGTGTAGGGGCTGAATGGGTGGTTCCTGATTGTTCCCTCTACCAAGGGCAGATGCAGGTAGGATAGCTCAGAGGGATTCAGGCTCAGACTTAGGACAGCATGCACTATTTCTGGATTTTCCTTATGGGTCAGTGTAGGTAAAAGGACACTACCTGGTGTCTGGCTGGAGTGGCAGGCTACTCAGCTACAGGAGTCAGCTTTAGTACATAGCAACCTCAGGTGTGATGGAGTAGAGTATTATTGCTCAACTACAGCAACCTTTTCAGGACTGAGCTGCTGCCAGCAGTTGCAGCCAGTGATCTGCTTCTGGACTAGTCTAAATTTTGCAACTTGGCAAGTGGAGTCCATGTCTTCCCCATGCAGGAAGAGTTAAGCTGCTGCTCTTCTGCTTTGGTACTTGGCCACACAACTGTAGTTCATACGTCTTGAGAAAAAGAGGCCTATGTAACAATGAATTAATTCAGATCAGGAGATAGATTTTTCAAACATTTGTCATCAAATCTCTTAGCACCGATCAGATGTAAGATATTCCATGCCAAGGACTGCTTCAGCACTCTGATTTCAGGACCAAACTCCACTTGCTAGCAACAGCTTCCCTCTTGTATGTGCCCAGCACCCTGCCAGATATATTTGGACAGGCAAGCTGTCTGCAGCCCAAGAAGGAATTGAAGAGGTAGAGGGAGATGGAGCAGAGAATTGATGTTTTTCAAGCTGCTCTGAAAGCTGGTGTTTTAGGGTTCCTAGGCAAAGCCACTGCATGCTATTTTCTAGTTTCTCATACAATTTTATAAATATATGTCAAGAATTGCAGTGGAAGATTATTCGTGTTGTGGAACAGAAGCAAGCACAGGAAGCAGGGAATGTGGTTATGAAAGAAGCTGGGACTTGATTTCACTTGATTAATCTGACAAAGTAATTTTCTTGATATGGAAGCATTAAAGCTATTAAAATCTTTGAGGGATGATAATTTATTAAATTATGTGAAAAAGAGGAAACCATATGGTGTGAGTTTTAGTTATAATTGTCATTGTGCCTATGTGAAATAATTATAAACTCAGTCAGAATGTGGTATTGACTGTAGTCATAGTGCATTCAGTATCTTTGGAAAATAATTATGGGAGCTTCCAGTGGGATTTGTGTTAACTATGTTGACAGAATTATTTTTTCCAGCAGGAAGAAAGCAAACTGCTTGGAATCTCTTGAGCGGGAAAGTTCCTCTTCACTCTGCAAAAATGACTTAATTCAAGTGTGGGCTGTTTGCTCACTGCACATCACACTGACATCTATGAAGAAGGCTGTATAGGGTGTGTTTGCATAAAATGTTCATGTTGTGAAAGGCATGATAACAGGGGGACACAGCTGAAACAGAACTTGTAGTTTATGAGATCAAGATGTAGTTGTAAAAAGCCTTTTAACCACACAAGTGTTTTAGCCTGGAGAAGAAGAGACTGAGGGGAGACCTTATTGCTCTCTACAACTACCTGAGGAGGTTGTGGTGAGGTGGGTGTTGGCTTCTTCTACCTAGTGACCAGGGATAGGACAAGGGGAAATGGGGTCAAGCTACACCCGGGGAGGTTCAGGCTGGATATTAGGAAAAATTTATTCACAGCAAGAGTGGTGAGGCATTGGAACAGGCAGCCCACAGAGGTGGTGGAGGCACCATACCTGGAGGTGTTAAAAAAACAGGTGGACCTGATGTTTTGGGAGATGGTTTAGTGGTTAGGAGTTGTAGGGCAGATGGTTGGACTTGATCTTGAAGGTCTTTTCCTTGATGATTCTATGGTTCTCTAAGTTGATTTTCAAGTCAGTGGTAGAAACAGAAAGGTACAATGAGTTGAGAACAGTTTTCTGAGTTTAATTAGATATGTGCCACTTAAACCACTAAAAGAAGATACCCCTCTGCAATGTGTAGAAGAGGGTTGAGAACTCCCTTAGTTTACAAGGGGGGGGGAGAGAGAGAGAGACAGGTCCCTTTCAGCCTCTGGGTATGGATGGTTTAGACGAAGGTGAAGGGAGAGGAATTCCCATGTTCCGTAAAATCAACAGAAATATATTTATGTAGTAGTGGGTGTTTCTTTGTGTTTAAAATGAATGCTTTTTGCCTAGAAGCAAGGCAGTTGACCTGAAGATTTTCTGCTGTGGTTTGCAGGCTATCAATTTTTATGTTCCCTGTAATGTTTTAAATAATAACTGTGATGTCTAGAGAAATGTTGTTGTACAGGAATATTTCAAGAGCAATTTGAAAGGGCTATGACAGTTTTTGAGTTCATGATGGCACAAGGATGAAGTCCAGTTTCCCACAGCAGGTAGTGAAGACGTCACTTTCAGGCTTGGAAATACAAGTAATTAAAATATAAGAAGCAGCTTATGAGGACATTTGGCCTGGTTTATGACCACATGGACGGCTATACCTGTGTGCTTTCTCAGGCGAAAGTATTACCTTTGAAGACAAAGTTGTCCAGGTGAGGGGTCTGGATGGAATGAGGCTAAGGTTACTTGGATTATTCAGCCTGGAGAAGAGAGGGGTGATCTCAATGCAGTCTATGTCTTCCTCAGGAGGGGAAGAGATGGGGCAGGTACTGATCTCTTCACTCCTGGGACCAATGACATGATTGGGGGACATGACAGGAAGCTGCATCAGGGGAGGTTTGGGTTGGATATCAGGACAAGGTTTTTCACCCAGAGGGTGGTCGAGCACTGGAACAAGCTCCCCAGGGCAGTGGTCACAGCACCAAGGCTGCCTGAGTTCAAGAAGCATTGGGATGATGCTCTCAGGCAC